CTTCCACAAATCCACTAATCTTACATTTAAAACTTACACCAGCTATGTAAGACTTAACAGTTGATGGGGAAAGCCCTTGTGCAGACAACCAAGCTATAAACTCCACAACACTTTGTACAGTAGGTGGCCAGTCGCTGCATGACTGATAAGACTGACGGAAAGCATCAAAACGAGCAAGCCCAGTACGGTAGACATGTCTTGTGTTAGGAGCAATAGAAGCGCCTAAGAGCCTGTCAATTTCAAGCCGTAGATTAGCTGCTGGAATGCCTCGGGGATCACTGAAGGGGTCAACACTGCTTGAGGTGCCAGCATACGAAACCGTTCCCACTGCTGGCGAGAAATAGCATCAGCGATACCATTAGCTTGACCTTCAATATGAATTGCCCTACACTGAATATTAAAGAGCATGCACCTCAATACCATTGTCCTGATTAACTCCATAATTCGAATCGATTTTGAAGTTTTTTTGTTGAGAATGGAAACCAAGCCGAGATTGTCTGTGAACAATCTAATTTTTTTATTATGCAATTCTGCTCCCCAAATATAAAGGGCCATGACAATTGGAACAAGCTCCAGAAATGTGATATCCCTAATCACCTCTGATCCTAACCATTTCCTAGGCCAGGAGATAAAAGCCCAAAGACCGTGAAAATAGGCACCCCCTCCTTTACTACCATCTCCCCCAGCACTGTCTGTGAAAAGCTGTAGTTCATCACTGTCCACCCATGTCCTCTCTGGAAAACTACAATAACCATTGAACAGATCTAAAAAAAACAGCCACGTTTGTATGTCCTCTCTCATCCCCTGGGTTACCCTCACAAAATGATGACTCTTTCGAATTCCTGACATGGCACTGTAGAAACGACGGATGAAAGCACGTGCAGGTGGAATTGCCCTAACACAAAAATTAAGGGCCCCTGCCAAAGACTGTAGTTTTCTTAAGGTGACCTTCTTTTTGCCACCAACCTCCCTCAATAACTCCCTCAAAGATTCAAGTTTATCTTGTGGAATTTTTATTCGCATTTCAATAGCATCTATTTCTAACCCTAAAAAGGTTAAAATTGGGGTTGGTAATACTGTTTTATCATCTGCAATAGAAACCCCTAGTTCTGCACACACTTGTTCAAAAACCTGCATAAGGTGCAGGCAATCAGTAGAACTCTCCTTCCCCGCAAAGAAAAAATCATCTAAAAAGTGGTCTAGACCCCACGTTTGACCAGTCTGGTCAGAAAGAACTCTTTCTCTAACTATCCATTCTAAAGCTGATGAAAATTTTTCAAACGTGGCACATGAAATGGAACAATCCATTGGCAAACACTTGTCAATAAATATTTGATCACCAAGTTTAAAACCGAATAAATCATAATCCTGTGGGGAAACTGGCAACAACCTGAAAGCAGATTTGATGTCCATCTTTCCCATTAAAGCATTTGGCCCTAAATCTTGAACAATGTCAATAATATGATCAAAACTGGTATAATGTACCTTAAATAAATTCTCATCGATAAAATGATTAACACTGTTGTCCTTAGGGTGTGACCGGTGTTGAATAAGCCTCCAGGACCCATCTTTCTTGGGCACTAAGCCAATAGGTGAAATTCTTAAAGTTGGTAAAGGGAGATAATCAAAAGGCCCTGCAACACGCCCAGCTAGAACTTCTGAATCTATTTTATTAAGAGCAGCCTCCTCATTACCAAAAATAGACTTAAGATTTTTACATGCAGTATGAACACGTGGACCCTCGTAATGTAACGGGAAACCCGAACGGAAACCGGAAACTAAAAAGTTGACTAGACCCCTATCTGGATGCCCTTGAAGCATATTTTCTAACAACTGACTGTTAATTGGGGTTTGCCCGAGGCCTGACAAATTTGTTGTTACCCTTGTCTTGGAAACTTGTAGGCTGGGCACTGCCTGGCCTGACGGCTGTACAGCCATCCGAGGCTCGAAAGCCTGATGCACAGCCTCCACCAGCTGAGGTGCCAGCCTAGTTGACACCTGCTCGATTACGTCCTCCAGCTGCTGTGGGGACAGGGGTCCTCCCTCTCCTGGCTGTTCAGAACTAGAAGGCCGCTCATGCTGCCCACCACTACCCCGGGCTCCAGCTGCTGGCCGGCCTGAATATGGGGTGGACGATGGCCGTCTCGACTTTCTGACACCTTTTCCTCTCATACCCCGGCCGTAACCACAACACAAAACGCTGCAGACAAAAGGCCTGTCTTCCTTCCCTGTGGGATTGTGTGATGACCTCCCGGAAGAGTTAAATGAAATTTGGAAAAGTAAACTGTAAATTATGAACAATCTAATCCTTTGCTTTAAATGTATGGCTACTAGTTCCTATCTCCAAAGCTGAAGATTTCTCAAGGAGCAAAGTAGACGAAAAGGTCCAAGGGAGGTAACTCCTATACAAATTCTGAGACTTTCGACTAGAATAACGGTCCTCATAAGATAACCGGAATTAATTTGATATGATTAATTCCCAATATGACCTGTCGAGGTCCGGGGATGCTGAACTACATTTCCCGCCTTTTTGCACCTGATAATGATTTGATATGATATTACGCTGTATTCATGTTATTTGTCAGTCCAAGATCAGGCCGTTGAGCTAGGCACACGTCTATGTTAACCCGTTAGGACTAATACAACATTTAACACAACGATTAGTGTTTAGTATTTGTATCCGAGAGACTGTGATGGTAACACCAATAAAACGCTGATGAATGAGACATGTTCTCTACTGAGCTTCCTAGTAAACTGTATCTTCAGCAGTTATCCAATTTGTTCCTTATAAACCTATCTTATAATACCTCTAATATGATATGGAAATCAGAAATAGCAACCGAAGTAGACAAAGTACTTATCAATGATACTTATATTGTTGTTTTATGTGTTAGTAATAAGTCGGGCTAATTGTTTTATTTGTTGGTTTACTGCTATGTACTGAATAGTATTAAGCTATTATCAAATAACCATATCAATATTCATTACTTATTTTTTATTAATCCTCCTGTTAAAATGTAGTTTTATTTCACATTGAACAACAATGTTTGAGCGGTATTGCGTGCAATTCGTTCAATACCTAAGATTGCAAAGGAAACGTCAATCATTCACTTGTACTTTCACACCTGCGACATACCTGATGAGTTCGGCCGCGTCTTTCGCATTTCGAAAACCAACACATATAATGAGGAAAACGTTGATAAAAGACTTCAATCGCCTGTACGTATAATACAAGAAATGAATCCTACATATCGCTATGAAACTAGAAAAACGACATATTATTAACATCAAAGAAACAGACACTACCTTAATTTTCCGATTATGATGTAATTTCCTTTACTTCATGGATTGAATGTTTTGAACGTTTAGATTTACATCTGCTTTATAACTAAATTTACATGGTGGTTGTCGTCGATGATGCAGAAGAGGCTTTCCCTTCTGGACATCTGGTCTTATGTGCCTGAATGATACTTTTCAATGGTTTTATTGTATGACTACATTGTACATTTAGCTGTGGAGCAATATTACGAGTATTGAGCTAAACGGACAACGCACAGATAATGAAGAAGCACGAAGACACTTCTCAATTATGTCTTGTTGCTATTCTTAATGATTCGATGAAAGTCTCAGAAAGTATGGTGACCTCATTTTTTATTCTGATACACGCGATGTCAAATTTACTCAAGCACCTTCATACATATAATCATACATACATGCTTTTTTTTATTTTTCTGTTCGATTTTGCAAAAAATACATTTTTTTAGGAATAAGTTTTTTTAAAATTCATTTAAAAATAAAGATAATGAAATTGCCATGACAAAACATCAGCTTGAGATTTATATCAAACACTGATTCTGCACTTTTTGTCTTCAGTATATCCAAGAGAGAAAATTACATGTTGACTCAGTTACATATATTTACGAACACTGTAACACATGTCACATCAGTTATATATACACCAATTATAATTGGATGGTAAGTTGTAGAACACTGTAAGTTTGTTTCTTAATCAGTACATTGCAGTGCCACAGTTTCACAGTGCTTCTTTGAAGGGTATCTCTGTCTACCAGTCAAATTGTAGTAAGCAATATCTGTCAGTGACCGCTCAGCCTGTGACCGCTCCAGGTACTCTAGCCGATGGGCACTATCGCTAGGACCCCAAGCACTACTCGGCTGTGTGAGAATTGACCATCTCTGTATACAAAAATAGAGAAAAAAGACTTAATTTGGAATCAACACAAAAAAAGGATATTAATCAACTAAGCGATTTTGTTCTGGTGATAAATAGGTATATGAATATGAGAATCACAAAATGTCAGAGACGAAGTATCAAGGCCAATGTTACCAATCATTGCTCAGAACGAAGTCCAAAGAAGACACGGCCTATCGTAGTTGACCTTTATTTGCCTAAGTGACGCCCTATGATATTGAAGGGAATGAGAAACAAACTATACAACTGATAATGACATTCATATAAGCAAATACTAACAGATCAACCTGTTGAGGTTGTCACTGTTATGACGTCATATTTGCCACTTTGGATACCACTGACCCTCAGTTAAAATGACTTCTATTCGTTTAACAAACATACATGATGCATACACTTTTTTGAGCTAAAATAACGATGGTAAATAAAGCATGGAACATTTTTTAGTTTGCATTCAAAACACCCTTCTTAGAATTCGTCATTTCTAATTGGCATTCATATTGGCTATAAATACCACCTGAAAACCGTTCAATGAGTGAATGAATTTATTGGCAAACACACGAATCTATCTTCATACCTGTTTTAGTGTCCCTTGTAATTTGGCGAATTGCCAGACGATGTAAAGAGGTATGGGAATGACAACTGTAAACGAAAGCGCCCAGCCAATGACGCGCGTGTCATCCGGGTATTCGTATGAACCGTACTTTGGTGACTGGTACATGACAAAACTTGTCAGGAGCAGGAACTGGAAACGAACACCACACGAAATCATTTTTGTGTGATATATTTGACATTATTGGTATCTTTCCGATCTTGAGTATACCTAATGATGACTTGTAAGTGCAATGTCATTTTACGGTCATCATAACATATCACTTAAGCACTTTATCATTACTAAACCTCTTCCAAGCAGGGAGGATAGGATGATGAATGATGCTTTTCAATATTTATTTTAATGAAAGAAATATTACTAGATAACACTATTTCGTTTTAGGCTTACAAAACATTATTCACTTGCTTGACGACCAAGAAACCTCTTTTTTTACATTTGTTCTTATTATCCAAAAAATAACATAACACCTTATGTACAAACTCATATTATATTCATATACATTTTCCCTTGTTTTTGTACTTTACTCTAATTTTTCGAGAAATAATTCATCGATTAATTCAATTATTTATTCACAAGAATTTCATAATTTGATTTTAATTATATTTCATTACATACCAGGAACAGGACAGGTGATATATATGCTGCTACAAGTCGGAACAAATGTGGCATTTTTCGTCCATTCATGTCTTTTAATCCATAGTCAATACGATCACCTCCTGCAAAAGCAAAATTGCACCAAAAGTAACCAATACATAAACTATGATTTTACGTATGCGCTGCTCGCCCTTAGAAATCCGATCTAAAAATATTTTATTGGACAATAGAGACTTTAGAAAAAGATTCAGAAATATGCTTTGATAAATTCAACAAAGGTATGTGAGCATATTAGTTATGCCATGAAGAGAATTCATTGTTTTTCCATTTCGAAAAAAAATGTCGAGGAGACAGTATCCTTTGACAATAGTGTGTTGAAGTCAAATATTAAAATAAATTGCAGTATCAATTTGGAATTAACTTTTAATTGTGCAGAAATTAGTATGTAACATAGCGACAACTAACGTTGAAATCGGCATAGATATATTTTTATATTTGAGCTGGTAATTGTAACATGTTTTTGTTGTTGTTGTTCTTCTTGTTTTTAAGTATTGTTGTACACATTTTAAATTGCTTACATACACATCAATAAATAGTATATCCATGCCATAATTATTTGCCTACAACCGCAACAAAGTAAACATTTGGGTCATTTTATTACACTATAATTTAGTCAATACGATGCTATACACAGGGTCCTGAAGTCAAATTTTAACAACATGGAAACACATGTGTGTCATTATTAAACGAATTATTGCGGTGTATAGTATGTAAAGTGTGTATGAACGTTGTGGAATGCCAGATGCCTTCCAATATAATAAATTGATTTGATTAAATTTCTCTCTTACCACACAATCATATTTAATCAAGAATTAGATTTTAAAAACGGAATAAAATGTGTAAAATACATACAAAATACATAATCAATGTTGCACATAACATTTTTAAATAGGATACTTCTAATATTTTCTTTTATAGAAATAAATCGAATGTGTGTGTATTCAAAGAATCAATGATTACTTATGCTTCAAACTTACCATAAAACCACATAATGGCGATAACCTCTAGAAGAGCTATCACTAACACCGACCAAGTTGGCCAATACCAATCAACAAACTGGAACATGTACGGGCCCGCCTAGAAACATTGAGCACATTTTTATTAGTGCATTTCTTATTCTTATTAGTATGAAGGGATGGTCACATAAAAAGCGGGTAAGGAACAATTTGAGGAAAACATAAGAAATGATTATTTTAGCTTCACTATGATAATTGAAGTACAGAACACATGGCTACTGCTCTATAAACTACTCAGACTAAAACATATTCAACATTTCATGTTTCCCATCTTATTTCTCTCCTAGTCCACTTCTGCTTCTCACTTTCCCAAAATTTACCCTTTTAAAAATGTTAAAAATGAACGAAATGTACCCAGAAATATATAGTAATTAGTCAGCACGTCAATATCAAGGTTTCCCAATGTATTCCTCGATCAATTGCTCAAGTATACAATCTCAATAAAGTTGCCTTTGATGAAGAGTTTACGTGAAATGATGTAAAACAAAGCATATTAAGCGACCGGCAAAAATACAATTGATCAACACGATAAAGAATAGCGACGTTTTATTTGTTTCATTGCACTTGAGTTTTATTCAGTCAGTTGGTTGAAACATCTGTGTGACTTGAAGAGCAAAGGGTATGTGCCCCTTCGAGCAATTATCAAATCATTGATCACAATATTATGGAGTAAATCGGATAAGTTTTCGAAAGAAATATGAGAGTTTAAATCTTCTGTTTTTCTACATCTTATTGGAATTACCTCGAATCGGATGTTAAAATATGGTCAAGTCACTATCTCATTAATTCAAAAGAAATGCATATCAATGCGGAAATGAAGGCCTCTTTTGTTTCATAATTTGGATGCATTACCGATAAGTTTTGAGCTTGTCATACAGCAGTTTTCCAGTAGCCTCTAGAACCGAAACAAAAGTCATTATTCCATAAATCCTTACGATTTTCCTTTAGAACGTCATTTAAAAAAAAAAAAGATGCATCGATTGAAAACAAATCATGTCTAACTTCACATTTTGTGAATACATGTATCTTTTTTTACCTGTGTGCAAAATGGGAGGTTGCCGAGAAACGAGAAAAGGCTGACCAGAATCACAAGAATAAGGTGCCTGTGTCGACCTAATCTTGAACTAAATCCTTCCATACAAGACACCACGGTCTCCGTACAAACAACCTACAAACATCGGTGAAACAATTATCAGTTCAACAATGATCACAGAAACTATAGAGAAATTGTAGCATGTTGATGCAGAGAGCCCAACATAATAATAGTTGTTCTGGCTCAAAATGGCCATTTCGTTCATTTATAAATTATATTGATTGCCTTTGATCTATTAAGATAAACGTCCAACATTAATTCGAAAAAAATACCATTGTGAGTAAATACAATGTATAGAGACAAAACATTATGACATACTTGAAAGCGTTGCTTATTTACATTTTTTCTTTTTTATAAAGTATATTATGTAAACCGTGTCAGCATAAACATACCAGCTACAAAGTTAGGGTCAGAAACACTAGCCAATATGTCGCAGCGGTACATATCATAATCTGTGCCATATGGTCAAAAACATACATGGACAACAACCACTGTAAGTATTAATTAAAATGATAAACTTCACTCGGTGTTCGTCATACCTGTGCGTCAATTCCGACAATAGTGATAGCGAAGAAAAACATCACTGCCCAGATATAAGGCGCTGGGAGGTAGGTCAGTGCCCGACTGTAACCCACCATACCGATTGACATGCCTGTATCACAAAAGTAAAACATGTGATCACTGAATTAAACGTGAGTTGTTTTCTCTGAAGTGTATTGTATAATAGAGACATGTACATTATTTTGTGTGGCATAATCCGTTAACATTTAAAAATGTTCATGCTCTGCACAATTCCCTCGCATTAAAGATTTTCAGTTCGTTCAATCCGTATCGATTGCAAACGGCTTTGCATATACATGGAATATGTACAAATGTCCAACTATATAAAAACAGAAATTATTTAATTACTTTTTAGTAAATAAAAATGACTTATTTCTACACAGTGTTAAAAACAGTTATTTTAAAAAACAATACATACCTGACTTAACAACATTCTCAACAGGAATATTAATCTCTTTCGCCATAACACCTATGACGGCGAAAAGGACGACGCTGCTAAACACCGATATACAAACATCCCCAATGGCGCCAATAAGCACATTTCTGCAATAAAAAAAAACATAATCAAAAAGTATATATGTACCAACAATAATAACAATAACAAATATAAGCTTGTATCGTAATCACGCTAATGTTAACATAATATTTTCCACTGCATATAACCCTACCAAATATTTTTTAGAATAGAAATATAATGTGTTTTACCTAAAATCCTGTAGGCAGATTTCTTTTTTTTACAATGATTAATATAAACAGCTTTGATGCTCAATATAAACAAAATCCCCATTCTCTTTTATATGATATGAGTCATCAAAGGGGAGAAACATACGAATTTCCAATTATCATTCACTGTAAATATCAATTGCAAATGTTAAAAGTTGATTTATAGTTGTTTTGATTAATTCATGTTTGTACAGATCGTTAAATCATTATAATCAGCATTACGATAATAAGTGAAAATCACAATGGTAACAATATGTATATATTTATAAAACAGTAGTATCTCATGAATATCAGTATTTTTGTATATCTTCCATGAAACAAGTAGTAAAGTTTAATTTGTATCTTTTTTGCTGATCTGGGAACGTGCATAAGGTAATTGTGTATGCTAGGAAACCAGAGTACCTTATCAAAGATCGTGTCAAGTGTTTCTGATACTAACTGACCGAAAACTTAGTTCTAAAAAGAACTGATGCTCGAATTCCTTTCAACAGTTTCAAAAATCCTATGCAGATTATTTTGTATAGCATCTTCTATAAACATGTAATATTAACAACATATATTAGACAAACATGTTCAAAACTTGAAAATATATGTTGATCTGATCTAACACAATGTTTACTTGTGAGACCGGGGTTAATTTTGCGGTATGACATGTTTTATGTGAATGATCATTGTGCTACGCCTTCGTTTGGTTTCATGCTAAACAAAGGCAAATGTAGCCCCATATTATTCACATACATTCCGTTAACTAGCAAATCCTTGCCCCGAAATTTCTACGATATCAAGATATCAAATATTCCAGCAGTGAATAATACTGATATAACAAGATATCTAGGAAAAACACATTATACTTATCCTTACCTCAGACAGTTCGAGTGAAATTTCACATGACTTCCCATCACCAATATGCCGCCCCAAGCTGGACCGAGACTGTAGAAAGCCATGAATGTTGCCTCTAGCCATACCTGTCAGATTAGTTTCATTTGAATTATAGAATCGTTACATTTCACTTGGTACGATGTTGTCAAATCACATAATATTACAGAAAATTGTATACAATTTGTTTTGTTGTTTTGTCTTTATAACGAAAAAGCGTTATTGTTTATACTCTTTTGTCTTGTAAATACTGTATGTATCATTGAACAATAATAAACAAACCTTGGAGTCAGACAGTCTACTAAAATCAGGTGTAATCAGGAATAGTAGACCATCTTGGGCGCCATTCTGAGTAAACGCTTGAATCAGCATTGCCAAACCAATTAACGGAGGAAAGAATGTGGTAAAAAGCATCATCTGGAATATGGAGACACAAACATATAAGTAATGGGAAAGTCACGGCGGATTTATAGAATTATTAAGACAGATGCTATATATTTCTTCTGTAATGTCTTTCCATCTAAATGTCAAAATCTAATACCAATATGTAATACTTATTACCAGTTTTGATGATGTATTTTACCAATCAAACTTTTAAACACTGCATAACTATATTGCAGTACAATATCAATTTATACATTATTTGTAGCAAATATACCAACTTTTCCAACGGACTTTACACCCTTCAAAAGACCAATAATGACGATGACTTTGAGTATAATTGTCCATAACACGAGGCGCCATCGCAGAGAGCCCACCTCATTAATTCCACCTGACAGCGATAATATATTGTACCTGTAAAATACATAACCATGATTAGTTTGCGAATTCGGTGATATAGAAGATAGTTTAGTTATCTTATATTTTGTGTGATAACTTAAGGATTTTATTTCACTTTTTGCATGCTTTTATTTCGATTGAAGACTTTTCTTAATATTTTACCAAAGAAAAATGTTTAACCAAAATTTAATAATTTATTTTTGGGAATTTGATTCCTAACAACAACAGCTAGGGTCATAAAATGACGGACATATATGAAATATACCTCCATTTAAAAAAAACATTATCTTATGTGTTGTGTTTTTGCTGCATTGCGATAGTGCGGGTCTGATGCCGACATAAGAGTGCTACCTCGATTAAATACCATGCTGCATACATCAGGAACAGTATTCAAATGGATTATAATATGCTGCCAACGAGTGAATTACTTCTTTACGCTACCAACTAAAAGCTGAACAATAACAGGGTTAACCAAGCAAGGCGTTTGGAAAGGGAAATATAGTCATATCAGATACAATAAATAAAAAAAGGTTAGGTCAGAATTAAATTGGTTATTTGTGTGACTCCTTGTTAAGGAAACAAAATAAAATTAAAAAATGGGGGTCCCAAGCTCTTATGAACCATTCGCTTGGTAACAGCTGGTATACTATTCTTTTTTATATCCCCGATGTTCAGGGTTTTAAATAAGAATGAATAATTCGTTCAAATAAAACAATACGTCTATTCATATTTGTACTGTAGAAATTATACATTGTTTGTCATACGGGACAGCGACAGTTTCATAAAAAAATGATTGCGCTGAAGACATGGCAAAATGACACGTACATGTATCTGGGTCTTCAACTGAATAAACATGCACTTACTGCCAAAATTCTTCTTCTGATGAAACACCTGTTGAATTGTCTTGGTAACTGGTTGCATTTGTTGTTGAGTTCCATAGGCTTTCATCGTTGTTCGAGGTCAAGAATATTTGGGATGCTCTACATGAGTTGGTGTTCCATGTGTGTCCACAAGATGACCAAGGTAAGTCAGTCGTAAATGACTGTCTAAGATACTCAAGTAGCCAGTAACGCATTGTAGATACATAACTGATGTAACCTAAATTCAGTAGAGCGATAGAAATACCAATCCCTGGGGAAAAAAAGTTGCTATGATAAATAGATCTATATGGAGATACTTTCGAGAAATAACTGATAATGCAAGTAATGCAAGACATACACCTGTAGTACTGGACACATAAAGAGGAATTACAGTGGCTGTAACACAATGTTAGTTGATGACTAAAGACTTATGCTATGAAACAACTGTGCATTTCAGGAACAAAAATGATAATGCATGTAGATGTAGTCGTTATTCTTGTTATGAATATGAGATTAGGAAATAGATTATATAAAGGTGTGTTTCTTGCTCCAACTATTACCTTTAAAAAGTGGTGAAAACTCCCATATCTGAAACACTCCTTTACCGGAATACTGTCCAAGGAAGATTTCAAGAAAGTACAAGGGTATACCACCAGCAATCAGTGTTAACCCGTAGGCAACTAGAAACGCACCTGTGTGGGCAATCAGAGAATGAAAATGTGTTAGTACCCTTGTCGCTCCAAACTGAATGGTTTTCTACTGAACAATAACGTATTCTCACACGTGCGGGTTCTTTTTTCAATAAACAAAGAGTGAATACCGAATTGTTAACAATATAACAATTCGAACACAAAATCGATAAAACTTGGTGGCGAAATATGAAAAGAGGAAAGATTTTTCACAGAGCAACTTAAAAAGTACAATCAGAATAAGACCAGATGTTCTGGAAGGATAAATATCTTCTGTTTCGTTGATGATAATAATATATAACTTGGTATTGATGCTTTCCATATGAGATACTTTTTCACTTCAAAAATATGAAACTAACCGAAAAACCGTGAGTATGTCGTCAGCGAGTTCTGTCTGAGGATTCGGATTGATAAATACTAGTTAGGACATTCAAATATTACGGGTTAGAAATGTACATCCTTTAAACTTGACCATGCTTATTGATTGCGTGTAACTTTCCCAGTAATTCCAACTGGTAGAAAAACTAATTGGATCTCAAAAACTCAAAATGTCATTTAACGTCACTTTCAACAAATAAATCATGTTTACATACGCATCACAATCGATTTCCAACAGCTGTTACGCTATGAAATGCACCAAAATATATCAATATTTTATGGGAAACATTTGAATCAGAGCCTCCGGTAACTAGCTCCAAATATAACAAATAAAACTGAAAAAAACCCTCAAAAGACGTGTGCCTTCATTTTGTATTAACATCGATAGAGGTATATCAATGATGCTGTCCGCGAGTATAGGGTACATTGTATCTGTCAGCAAATTACTATACACTGAAAGTATATGTATAAGCATTAGGTATAATGTATTAATGACTTTTGAACAACTCTATTTTGAGAACTCCTTCTCGTAGTGGTTTTCTCTGTCTATATAAAATAAAAGACTGGTCGTTTGACCTATCAAATGTGTTTTTTGGTTTGAAAAGTGTAATTTATAAAAAAAAAAAAAAAAAAAGTATATGGACATGAGCTATACTTTCAATAATGGTAATTAAAAAGTATAAGAGATATTTTTCTTATTCTATTTCATGATATATTTAATATAAACCGCGTAAAACAAAAGCGTCGGATATCAACTTTTCTTTGACAAGATTATGATAGTTTGCATTGTGGATACTTTTTGGTCGTCAAAACATTTGCTTCTGCATTGTTACGCGTATATTAGTGCAACATTAGCGGAATATCTCAGTTCAGTTCAGTAAACAAGGTCAGTACCTCCCAAATCACCTGAGATAGTCGATTATTTTATATTGATTGTTATTGATGTAGCTGAAAACATTCTTATAAACAACTCATAATCTTGCGTGTGCACCAACTGAACTTTGTTTGAAGTTATATGAAAAGTAACATTGTCATGGAATGGTGTACATGTACAGTTGGAAAGTTTCGTTTATTGGCAGAAAATATTTCATTTGACCTAAAAGCTATTCTGCAGCAATCGTGAAATATTTACAAATGTGTAAATTAGATGGACGTGAGCTATGCTTTCAATAATGACAGATCATAATAGCATTATCAAAAACAGAATATTGCTACGTTTTTTATCTTACAAGAAATGCCTTGTGTGCTTTGGTAGAGAATTACAGTGAAACTATATTGCTGCACATTTCAAATTTAAGCTCTCAGACCTGGACTTAATTTGTTTAAGGAGACGTACTGCAAGTGCATCTGATGCTAGGATCCAGGCATGAAATATATATTTCAATAAAGAAGTATGAAAATGAATCGAATGATTCTAACCTACCCCCTCCGTTTCTCCATACAAGATAAGGGAATCTCCAGAAATCTGACATTCCTGTCGAGCAGCCTATCAGCGAAACCACAAATTCCGCTGTACTGCTCCATGTTATCCGTTGTTTTGACTCGCTGCTGTCTAACGTTTCGACATCAGCATTCTGTTCCTTTAGATGTTTGTCGTTGGCGTCTTTCTTCATGCTGATAACACTGTTCCTGATATTGAATATCAAATAAAAAACTGAACATTTTCAAAACTTTTTGAAAGCAATGTTTGGAAGACGGTTTCAAGAAAATAAAACCAGATTAAAAGTCTCGTCTAGGAATTCCTGTCCCACTGCACTGTTGTTTTTCTTATATACCGTAACCTCCCCTTAACTTCCGTTTGGATAAAACTGTAGCTCAGTTAAGCCTAGACACTTCTGTTGACCAGGTCACTCAGTCGGTTAGAGCGATAGTACATTACTCTAAAGTCCAGGGTTGGAATCCCTGTTTAACCCCACTGGTATTTTACACTCAGAACACTGCTGTTGATTATGTTTTGTGTATTTTATCTTTATTATTTCTCATACAAGTCGGCAATGTATGGTTATCTTTTCAGAAATGCTTTATCAAAGCTGCAGTAATGCAGTAACATTTAGCGACGGTAGTCGGCAATGGAACAGGGATCCTAACGTATTATGTGCATACACCAGTAAATGTTATTGAAACCAGGCCTCCTAATCATTGCAGTTACCAACTGTATATAGATATGTTCGTTGGAGTTTGTTTGTAAACCTTATATAAATCCAAGGTTATATTGGGTATCGGAGTACAGATATATTTGCAATTTAATGTTTTAAATCCCCTAGCGCCATGGCATATACATTGAGGAAAGTATAAAGGGAGACGTTGTACGATTAAACTATGCTAAATTCACCCAAGGAGATATTTGTCTCTGCAAAACTGCTACGTACCGACTCAATAAATATTCTGCAATCAAATTCAGTGTCAAACAAAATATATTACAACAACATATGGGCAAGTCTAAAATTGAGAATATTAAAGTATTCCGAAACATATATGAGTACGGAAAATGTGTCTATCGATCTTAATTATTTTACAAAGATTGGCTACCTACGATGGGTATTTCGTTCTTTAAATAGAGTTATATCAAATATGACAGAATAAATTTTAATCACAGCATCGAGTAGTAGTATATATTTGGTATGTGCATATTAGCCTATTTACTAGTGTAACAGTCTTGTTCTTTATGTATAGGCAAACATACAGATAGTCCACACATATCGGTCTATAGACCTATATTTATACAATGCCATCTTATAATGAGCCAACACCTATTTACAGGTGGTAAAAATTCGCGATATATACGCGATAAATGTGAAAGAAATTATTATTATGTTATAGCAGGGAATAGCAAACTACCATTTGGAGGACTTTGGTATGACCCGACCTGGTAACAGAACTTTTTGTCTATCGCACTTAGACAAACGTTCAACAACAGTAATTGCCAAGCAAGTGTGAAGGAAATGAGAAGATTGTTTGGAAGTAGTAAACTATATAAGATATCATGATGTGTCCCAAAGAAGAGGGTATAAAACGACCTGGAGTGAGGGGTGGGTGGAGGCGGCGGCGGCGGCGGCGGCGGTATATATCGTTCCAAACTACTATTAAAAGATGAAGTCGTTGAGCCCTCAGACTCACTGTGAACGTCTTTGGCCAGGTAGTGACAGGAAATAACGCGTTTTGCTGAAAGAATCACAGTTTCCTTTTTATCCGATTTTAAGATTATTTCATTTAACGAAATGTCACTTTTCCGACTATATACATGTATATACAGTTTTCGGATTCCAATTATTTCAGTGATCGTGACTAAATTGAAATATAAATAGCTTTAAAACCTTAAGAGGAAAATCTGTAAAAAAGAAAAAGAAAAGAAACAATGGTTGAAATGAAAGCGTTACCTTTAAATCTTGTAAAGCTATAGGCGTGACTCATAGGGTTATTGTTTCATAGGGATCACATTTTGAGAGTACAATTATGAAGGAGATTTATTTGTCACACCTCAGACAAGGATGTCCCATGTGACAGATTTTTCCATATTGTCCAATCTGTGTGACATCTCTACGTGACATTTAGCGGAATTTGCAGACAGCGATGTATTCATCTGCGTGATTTAAGCCTGAAATTGACAATCCGCATGATAAATATTTTGCTTTGTCGTTATATGTATTGTTTTAATGTTGTATAATCTACACAGTGAAAAACGTTGTCTTTTTCTCAAGAACGGATTACATTTTTACGCCGAAGCATACAAACGTAGCTTTAGTAGTGTAAAGGCCATATTCATATGAGGCACTAGACGAGAGAAGTGCTTGTTTAAGTGAAATTATATCAAAGCAGTGCATTAAGGAATTATATTTTTCTATCAGGAAAAAAAGTATGCATGAACATTTTAAGTAAAATGTACGAATTATTAAAAGTTTACAGTACTATGTCGAAAAAATACAAACATAGCTAGGACAGTTTATTTACCCTAAACTACTTAATTAAAAAAAACAGAACAAGAAGAATTCGATCTTTGAAGTAACGA